AATAATAATAATAATAACAATAATAATAATACATAGTATTTGTATAGCGCATATACCCGCTCACAGAAAGCTCTATGCGCTTTACACTATATCTCACCTGTGAAACCAGGTACTTTAGGATAGGAGGGTCTTCTTTTGTTTCCTTTGGCTTGTCATCTTTTTTCCATGTCGAATTCAGCTTGAGCTTAGTCAAAGACACGTCTGTCTTGATCTTCTCCAACAAGGGAGTGCTCTCTCTCCTCCTCTGAGATGGGGAAGTCACTTGGAAAATTGACTCCTGAAGATTAAGAAAAATCCACACTGGATGATTCTAGGTTCGTTAATTAAGTAAAAAGAAGAACATTGACTTGATTACTGTCATTTGGTGAAGGGAAAAAGAGACAGACAGACAGACATATACACACACACACATATTTGTGTGCACGCACATACGTGCACACATAAACATACCCCAACAAACATAAACACATGAACATACCCGTCTTTTCAGTTTTTCTTTCAGCGTGTCTTTCCGTCCATCACCTGACTTGCCCACATCTCTTTCGTCCTCCTCGGTCGACTCATAGATTTTCCTGATGGCAGCCGTGAGACGTGAGCATGATCGGCGCTGTCTCTCGTAGCAGTTTGGGTGACAGTAGTTCTGGTGGCTGCAGATAAAGTTGGACAAGTTCGCCAACTGGACCACCACCTAGAAAAGAAAGAAAAAAAAAGATTTACACAACCCACACATCATTTCTCAATTTTGAAAAATAGAAAACATTTTCCTTTCCATCAAAAGCACTATGCATTTTTTTAAGAATGGATTAGTTTATTTCAGTATTATTCGCAACCTGGAAAACACACAAAAAACATATTTTATAACTCTAAATTTTTTAAGTTGAGGTTTTTCCAAAGGCATTAACACCCCTTTTTGATTTTATAGTTTTGACATATAAAACTCTAAATGATCTTAACAAATTTGCTACACAATTTTTATCTCATTCTGACCTAAATGTAATTTTTTTTTTCAAAGATATGAAACAGATGAAAGGTGCATCTTAGATTAGATGCTTCATAGTTTGGCAATGATGGGAATGTCTAATATGAGCCACATACAATAGTCTCCGCTTAAGATCCCGGTGCTCGGGAGCAAGGAAATGCGGGATCTTAGGCGAACCGGGATCTTAACTGACGAATCCAGGGAAGAATCTATGGTGACCCATGCTAAGGTTCACAATCGATAAAATGGTCTCCCTCTACTCTAAAATGAACTGATGTGACCGCTTGGTGGGTTTATGACGTATGGCGAGCTAAGAGTGGTTAACCTTGATGGCCTCTATCACAGTGCATAGTGGGATGAGGCGCGCCATTTTCACTTATTATCCTATCATGAGTCTCAAGATCTACGCTTATCCAGTTGCCCCTCCCCCTTACCTGTCGAAAATTTATAGCTTTCCATCTCTAACCGAGCCCCGAGCCCCCCCCCCACCCCAAAAAAAAAAATCGCCTTTGTCATTACACACCATTACGTTGTGAACACACCACTTAAAATTCAGTCTGTCTCGCAAATTCGGAAGTAGAGACAACTTCTGCAATGGTCAGGGCAGAGTTCAGTTCAATGCGATCCCACCCGGAGCGAACATGTAGGCCCTACCCACCCAGCGAATGATGTAAGTTTAGGGGGAGAGCTCAGGTGTGAGTGCGATGTTCGGGGAAAACAAACGTGTCGGTCAGTTCACATCCCGGTGTGATCCCGTCTGGGGCAAACATTTATCGCTTCATCGAGTTTTACAACGTGTATGTGATCACATTCACGATAGTGGCTGATCTTCTACGCGACAGACAGTTTATTGATCTCAACTTTTCACTCTTGGTTGATTAGCTGTCCCGCCCGGGTTTTTGTTCCGCAAATTATGACCTGAAATGCGGGATCTTAGCCGAAGGTAGACCTTCAGAGTGAATCAGAGCGGGATCTTAGAGGTTACTTTTGTATAGTAAAAATTATGTTTTCTTAAAACAGCAGGATCTTAAGCGAACCGGGATCGTAAGCGGTGGGATCTTAGGAGGAGACTACTGTAGTAGCAAAAGGGTTAACTTATCTGCATGATGATGAAATTAGATGGGCTGAAAGCCTCTTTCAACATAGTAAACCTCTTATTTCAACAAGTCATACTACAAAACAATAATGAAACCCTATAAGCCAATCACTGACTTTACTTTAGTGTTAAAGATTAGAGGTGTTACAAGAAGGTAAAAAACATTTTTTAAATGAGGAGGAGAGATAAAGGACAATAGATGTTTGATAAAAAAGAGGGGGGAAAATCCACACAAGAGCATCCACCAACCACCCACTGTCACTGACCTTGATCCAGGGCAGATTCGTGTACAGGTGCTCTTCCTCCATCTCGATCTCGCGGTCTCCTGGCGACTCCTGTGTGTCGTCACTCAGCATTGCCACAGACTCCGAGTCCTCCCCGCCCAGGCCACCGCCTGCCACTCCACCCGTCTCCTCGTCCGCGTACTTGCTGTCAGACTGCAGCGAGTGGCTGCTGATCTTGCGAGACTTGATGCTGCCCTGCTTCATGCCTGAAAAGGGATGACCAAAGTTATGTCGCAAAGATATTGTAAGACCTAAACCCCTTGAGTTCAGTCTTAGAAATAAGTACTGAGATAGCAACTTTCAAAGATGAGATTGATTAAAGAGAAGCAAATCAAAACAATAGCTTTCATTTAAAGCTGTGAAATGCAAAAAAGACGAGAAAAAACATAAGAAGGAAAGAAACGAAGTACACATAGACCCAACACGTACAAGTAGAGTCCTATCATTCACTCTTTCAAACTTAAGTTAACTAAATGCAGAGTGCTTCCTTTATATATTAAAAAAGACGAACAATTTGCACATATGCACATAATTCGTACTAAACAGACAGAGATAGAAGAATCTATGCAAGTGTAAAGGCTTAATTTTGTGGTTTGTCCAAATTTTCTATAACGTCAAACTATACATTTCCATGAACCAACTGCTGAAAGCCTTATTTTTTCACACACTTACCATTATCTTCCATTTTATTGCAAATGTCAGAGAAAATGAGCAGTGGAGATTTTGCGATACAAAAGAAGATGCAAATTCTTAATTTTGTCAGATTTTTCAGATACGGTTAGGTCAGAGTAGCATTCTTCTTTGTTTGAATTCCAGATCTCAGATGACATACGGTAATTTTCGTAACACATGTAACATACTGAACTCAATCTTACATCATAAAAACTCTTTTTCTTACTAATGCTCCCACATTACATGTGCATTAGGACGTATCAACAGATGAATGAAAGCAAAGGAATGTTGTATGAATTTGAAAATCGGAATTGTAACCTTTTCAAAGTATTTATTACTTTTCTGGAATTCCAAGGATATTATGTTCCAACTTGTATAGAGATGTCTGTAGCAGTCCAACTTCTTTATTAGTCACTTATACAATCTTATTTAATTTAAAGTTACCTGAACTGTCTGCAACACAGAAAATATGCTCAATGTTCAAAGGAAACACATAATATGTTCACAAAAAGACATAAAAAATATAAATGTGCAAACATCAATACAAAGTGTGAAGAAACGCGATGCCTCTTACAGTTTTAGTATGTGCAAGTGACAATTACATAATGGTGATAGAAAAATGACAGAACTGTACATGTTTTTCAAAAACGAGCCTTCAGCATGCTATAAGGAGAGGGCTGTGCCTAAAAGAAAACGTCAATGGCGTCCCGCACAGATGGGATGGGCCACCTCCCAGGAAGCCAATTGAACAAGTGAGGCTAAAACCTGTTCAGTCAAACTATAAAAGACCCATTCAATTCAAATTTCACGTTGATATTTCAATCATTTCCATTTCGTCCCCTCAGAGCTGTCTTGTCTAAAGTGCACTCTTTAATTAAGTACTCTTTGGACAAAATAGTTCTGAGGCGACGATTTGTTGAATTTTTAAACTATTAACTGGAAGAATGTATTTGACCCTGCTTTATAACAGGTTTTACAAAATTCTGGAGCTGGCCAATTTGTGCCACATGCCATCAAAAGATCTTCAAAGTTGTATCAGTACTTTTATCAATCCTTTTCACCAAAGACAAATATTCATATCAAATTATATCAAAATCCACTCTTAGACACAGACTCAGGCAACATAGCACAGCCCCTTTCCTTAAGCAGGCTAGCTAGAAAGCAACAAAATAAGTATCGGTCAATCTGACCCTCAAAAGAAATCCTTCTGAACCAAATACAAATGAGGGTCAGTTTCTGTGTACCACTTGATGGTCAACCCAAATATTCCAACTTGTTACAAGACATCCATAACAAAATCAGTTGTGTCTTCAAGAGTAAAGCTGTCTCACTCCTTTCAGCAAAACCAGCATTTACTCGTGTCTAGCATTAATAAACATGAACAATTATTAAACAGAAGTTATGTACACTCTGCGTGTGGTTCACGACAGAAATTCAATTCCCGTAGCACAAACATTCATACCATGAAGCATTCTACTGACTGAGGCTATAACTGCCTAAACAACTGTGCAATATCTGTATTGACGGTGCTTGTACAAAACAAGAGAAAAGAGAATATTTTTCCCCGCAAAAACAAAGACAAAGAATTATAAGACAGATCACTCAGTTGTTTAACGCCATCCCATCATTAAGCATAGTATCAACAAAGCGTGGCAAATGTGAGCTCACTGCTCCTCATCAGCAAAGATGAATAAAATGCAACAACACCTTGTTGACACTAGTTGGGCTGTGAGATTGAAGAAAGTAGTCCAAAACAGGGACAGAGATCAATTTATAATTCAGTCTTTGGCCAGAGTGAGGAACTTTTAAGAACTGCCTATTCTCTACTTGGAACAGACATGGTAACAACAGACAGCCATGACATACATTTCAAATTCATTGTCCGAAATATCCAAAGAAAAAAGTGCATCAACACTTGAAGAAGTTTGGGTGGGGTGTGTGAGTACATAGTGCAAGAGATTATAAACGGCAGTTATAAAACTCCATATAAAAAGTACATCCTACAATCCTATAAACAACATCAGAATAATCAGAACACTCCCAAAACAGATGATTAGTTCAGGTGCAGTGAGATTATTACATAGTAGCACATCCATCAAACAGACGTTAGAATACACAAATAACACACTACGTTCCTGTGAAAAAAAAAAGGCAGAACAGACAGAAAAAGAGATAATTCCATCCTTCTAAAATGGGAAGGGGCTGCCTGAAAGGAAAAGTAGCCTACACAATGCTCGCTATTACAAGTCTTCACAACGCACGAACAAAAGCCTTCCAGTCAATCGAAAGTCATCAGAACAGGCAAAATGTAAAACATCTTACCCCTCCCCTCCAAACCTTTAAAAGTAAACAGCACACAACAGCACTCTCAGCGGTGGCAAAAGGTTAGATAAAAGTACACACACAGCTCGCCCCTGATGTTCAAATATCTTAAGAACAAACAACACAGATGTGACTGTGAGACAAACTATCCATTGCAATCAAATAACAAGAGCAAATACTTTTCAGATTTTGTCATTGTCATTTTTTAAACTGTCATCGATTCTGTAAAGTCTGCAGCAAGAAAGTGCAAGAATAGCCAGGTGTTTGAAGAGAATAGGATAATTCTTCTTCAAGTGCCAGATCGGAAATAGACATGAGGGATCACAGTTCCAGACTCACTTCTCTGCTCAGATGCTCTCAAAAATACCTACATTATCCAGGTCTTTTCCTGTCGACCCTCTGTTCACTTAACAAAATAGTACAATTGAACAGAAACAGATGTCCACCTAACCAAAATGCCTATTAACCACCACCTCCCTACGATTAGTCAAACCACTGAGACTTCTATCTTGAATCTGTGAGAAATCTCTCGAACCATCACTCAAAGGCCACTCTCAGAAGAACTGACAAAACTACCCTTAATTATATCTCTTACTAGTTTTGGGTTAGTGCAGTAAAGAAAAGCACTCCAACACAATAACGGTCATAAAGCGACAGAAAAAAAATAATAAATAAGAGACAGAGATGTAACAAAGAGAAAGAAAGGGAGTGGGACCAACCAGTGGCACCCTTCAATCTGCAGGAACAGATACCATCAACCAGCATGACTGCAAAGTTGTACTTTGTAGAAAGTCAAATTGATAGCGGATACGTTTCACATGAATCAAATAATATATTCTCATTGAATAGGTTTAATACCCTTTTCAGCACTGTGAGGTTATCTAAGGGGCAAAACCACATAATTTAACGCTTATCTCCAATAGGACAACGCAAAGTGGGCGGTGAGCCTTAAAAAACCTCCCAAAGCAATCAAAGTTCAGAAAATTCCATTGGGGATTCGAGCTGGGGCTACCCGCTCCCTTGTCCAGCACGACGCTAACTGAACTAACAGTGCCCCGCCCCCACCCCCACCCCCCAATATATGAGTGAGGTTAATACTGAAAAAAAAAGGAAGAAGAAGAAAAAGCAGACCTTACTAATGCATTCACCAACCATCTAGGACAGTGTGCTATTCCTTTCAACTTTTTGTAACAGAAAAGTGCACATCACTCTACAAGACAATACAAGAGTCAGATCAGGGTACAAAAACCTTCCTCAATATTCCTTCAGAGCGGACAGACAAAATAGAAAAACCTACCGCTAACATGAGGACGAACAAGAACAACAAACATCTAGAGAAACACAACACCAACCATAATAATAAAAACCATAGACCCTAACCCAATCAACTAAGATTGATACTAACCACCACCGGCATCGAAAGATAAGGAAAACACTAGGGGGAAAAGAAGTCACAAAAGAAGTAAAACAGTTATTACTTTGAACTCATTTTCATTCAAAGTTGTGTAACTGTTACATAAACAGCACGCAACATCCATTCCTCAACAAATAGCATAAACACTGCTCGTTTCTTTGAGTAAATCGAAAAAAAAAAAAGAAACATCCACACCATAATAGTTATCTTAATGCTGGGGAAAAGCAAGACAGTTTTCATAAGAGTTTTAACAGCACTTGCTAAAAAGAAAGACAAAAACAGAAACAAAAGAGAGATAACAAAGAAGAAAGATCTGCGAGAACTCAGCATCCTATTTTTATAGTTCACTATTTTGATGTATTATTTCACAGAAGGATTTCAAATTTCCTTTCGTTCAAAACATCAGAACCAATTATCAATAGTAAAGGTCTCTAGTTTCAAAACACTCAAGACTATACAAGAATTCAAACAAGACAAGTTTCAAAAGATGACAAAAGGAAATAAGAAAATTATCAAGGTGCAAAAATGCATTATGAACTGAAAAGTCCAGTACATTTACATTTTATCATCCTCTATTTATGAAAATTTTTAGCCAGTAGGTATTTTTAGGGTATTAAAACCAGAATCAAACAAGGCAAAGGATGTTAGGACATAATCAATATATATTTCTCAGGAAGATTGATTAATTCAACTAAATGAAATACGGCAAAGGATCGTAAAACATAAATATTCTACTTTTATCAGGAAAACTGGTTGATTCGGTGTTCTCAAAAATTAAAACAGAATTAAATAAGGCAAAGATTGGTAAAACATTAATATATTATTACATTTTTCTGAAAGATTGATTAATTCAGCGCATCATAAAGGTAAAAAAACCCAGAAACAAACGAGTAAAAGCAACGGGAACACTTCTGGTCAGCACAGACATCTTCTGTTCAGGATCTTCTACACAGAGTTGAGAAGGACAAACAGAAAGGAGCAACGGAACAAATAGAGGGAAAAGGGGGGGTTAATAAATAAGATAAAGAGAGGGAGAAAGGGACAATGAGAGGCAAAGAAGATGACAAAGAGAGAAAAAAAGGAGATAAAGAGAAAGATAAATAAAGAAAGAAGGGAGCAGCAAGAGACAAAAATGGGGACAAATAGAGAGGGGGGAAAAGGAGGTAAAGAGAAAGACAGAGAGAAGTGGACAAATGGAGAACAAGAATTGGACAAAGTGAGAGAGACAAAAGGGTGAAAAGAAAGAGAGAGAGAGAGAGAGAGAGAGAGGGAGGGAGGGAAGAGGGGAAAAGAGAGAGGGAGGAAGGGAAGGGCGGACATAGACAAGGTTTCAGAAATGTGCCATTGTTTGGAATGTTCAATACCACAAGCTCTATGCTGCAAACAATGTCAGTGCTTTTCATCCACTGTGAGAATGACAACTGTTAAGACACCACAATCCTTTTTATAGTCATGCCGCCACCACCACCATGGCTACTTCGAGAAGTCTACATGCATCATTGACTTGCAGTATTCATTGCTATTTTGTTTTTTTCCATTAGAGAAAAGAAATGCACTATTTACCAATAATTATTATCATACATATTAAAACAAAAAGTTGTGTTTTTATCACAAAAAGCACTGTCTATTTTCCCCCAAAAAATTTTAACATTATTTCCGGTACAAAAAGAATTTTTATCTTTTATTCAACAAGCAACGATGCTATCACTAGTAAGCACTCAACCTCTCCACCCATCATAATAGCACACAGTGGAGACAAGTGGAGCTGAATGTTTTTAAAATCTGAATCAATACCATCAAACTAAAAAACATAAGAAGCAAATGTTTAAGAATTATCTACAAGAAAACGGAGTTATTTTACTCACTTCAAACCAACAGCCTTTGAATTCAATACTTTCCAAATAAAATTTTAAAATAATCATCAGAGGAAGCACAAGATAAAAAATTATTCCCAAGAATGGTGGTATTTTACTCACTTCCACCAGCTCCATCCGGTCTCATCAACTTGAAGCTGCGTCGGAAGCTCAGATTGTGTCCCGATCCTCGACCAAAATGGCGTAGAAGCTTCTGTCTTCCCTGAGCCAGTCGTCGACCTGAAAACATCACAAAAATTTTGTGGTCTGTTTCATTACTGGAACACAATGTGTCCTTGGGACAACACACAATCACGCTCCCATGCATGCACAAACGTACGCATACATGCACGGGCACGCGCTCGCCCGCGCACACATGCACACAGGCACACACACACACACACATACACACACACACACATACACACACACACACACATACACACACAAACATACATAGCATGCAAACACACTAGAGCCAGTCCACCGTCTTTTCCTGGCACTAGATACTGAATGAGGGAGCCTGTCCAGCTATCCTCTTCTTCATCTACTTCCAGATCCAAAACAAACCTCCATAATAATTGTCTACAATTCATTTCTCCACTTGAATGCTCTAAAAAGATCTACAATTTCTCCCATCGCTGAATGCTCTCAAACAAAACTACATTTTCTCCCATCTTTGAATGCTCTTAAAAAAAACCTACATTTTTTCCCATCTTTTCCCATCACACATCAGCAATCACCGCTAGCTAGATCAGTAATACCGGGTGCCCATTATGGATGGGATCAGCGGGTCAGTCGCCTCAAAAACATAGGGTGATCGGCCCAATCCAGCCCAAGTGGGTACCCCGTATAAGACAACAACAACGTAGTCACCTACCTTTCTTCTCCTTGTCCTCCGTAGTGCCCGAGGGGTCAAGCTGGGACAGGGAGGTGGTGCTACTGTGCAGAGAGTCAGAGCGCTCCGTCAACACAGCAAAACTGATCTTCCTGTCCCCCGGACTGCCCACATTACCTGAAATTTTTTTTAAAGATCAGAACTGGTAATAAGTTGACCGTTCAATTTAGATACAAGTATAAGAAATAATTCGTGTGATATCAATATTTTTTTTTTACGAAAGAAAGAACAGAACAGAACAAAATTAATTCAAAGATTTCTGTGGTGTCAATAAAAAAAAAAGAACAAAAAAAGAGCCAAAAAAAGGAACAAAGTTTATTCAAACTTCTATACGTTTATTCAAGTAAAACACAACAACACTGATACGCTACTAGGATTTCAATGTGAGGAAAAAGAACAACTGATTAGCACTACAGAGAGATAGTTGTGAAACAAAACCTTCCAGTCAGGTGCTAGAAAAAATATAAGACAATTATCATTACAATTGAAGTCCAGAAATCTAACCACACACAAGAAAACTCAAACAGATCACACATCAAAAGGAAAGAGGGAAAAAAGAAAAAAAATGAAACAAGTGGTAGCACTTTAAACAAAAAATCTTACTGATGCCAGACGGCAATTCTGCCACGTTGGATTCTGAGCTTTTGTCCGAGTGTCCCGGGCTGCTGACGATGCTGCTGTAGCGACGGCTACTCACATTCTTCTCCCACACATGCTCTCGCTTCTGGCTGCGTGAACGTGGAAGGTACTGGAACGTCTCACGCAGGAACGTGGTGATCTCCAGCAGGACCAGACAGGCCAGCATCTTGAGAGCGTACGGGCACTCCTTGCCCTTCTGGTTCACCGATGCTGATCAACATAGAAGAAAAAAACAAAATGTGTCATGGTGCGGTGGAACCAGGCGCTCGTAAATTTTCGGGTGTGTGGAGTTATTGGTATCACACGAAAGCTAATTCGTTTGCCTTCTTTTCAATGGAAAAAAATGCTTGTCTATTTTGAATAGAAGTTGAAATATTTGCGACTGAAGGAGGTGGGGGTCATCTAGTTTCAGAGGTCAAATTAGTGATAACATGGCCGTCAAAGTTTGGTAACTCAAAAATGTACATATTTGATATCCTTAAAATTCTATAAATATTAACATGTCACTCACTTTGTCACTTTTACTACATACAATACAAAGAGAAAAGGTACCTTCATCTAGGAAATCTTCTTCCTCATCCTCAGTCCTGAGTTCCTTCCTCCTCGCCTCGTCCTTTACGTCATCAATGACAGCCAGCCGGTCTGCGTGTTCTTTGGCCAAAATATACTCCAAATGGAGGCCCAGGTTCTGAAACAGGAAAAAAAGTTAATCAGATATGGACCCACGAAAATAAATTCAAATAAACAAGTCTTGCGACACACTGTATACAATTCATGTACCATAAACCTCTCTTCTCTTTTCACATTATAAAATCATTGGACCTGAAAGACACCAGGAATTTGGAATGAAAGAGATTCAGGGACATGACAGTTTAGCAGGACAGACAGAAACATTTGGGAGATAACAAATAAGAAGGATCTAAGAGTTGAAGCATTCATCACTGCTCCACACAAACCTCAGCCCAGGAGTAAAACCTGCACCACCCAGCAGCCTGTTGCAGCATCAGGATTCTAGTATACCCCGAGGGCTGTCTACAGTTCTACGATGCACACACTGTGTGCTAGAGAACACACTTTGAGAACTTGACAGAAAAAGACCTGGATAACAAAATAGTTTGGTTGGGTTTTTTTTGTATTTTAGAGCAACCAAGCAGAGAAATAGGTCCCAAACCACGATGGTCCATGTCTGTTTCAGATCTGGCAATTCGAGGAGGAGGAGGAGAAGAAGAAGGAGGAGGAGAAGGAGAAGGAGAAGGAGAAGGAGAAGGAGAAGGAGAAGGAGAAGAAGAAGAAGAAGAAGAAGAAGAAGAAGAAGAAGAACAACAACAACAACAACAACAACAAAACAACAACAACAACAACAACATTAACAAAAAGAACAAGAACAACAAGAAGAAAATAAAAAGGAGGTGGAAAAAAGGAAGAGGGAAAAAAAACGACGAAGACAACACAAACCTCAGCCCAGGAATAAAACATGCGTCCGGCGGCTTGCTGTAACATGAGATTCCTGCGATATCCTGAAGGCTGTCCGCGGTTTTGCAGCGCGGCCACAGTGTGCCGGAAGCTAGGCAGGTTCAGCTTCATCCAGTTGGGCCAGTCGTTGCGGTTGCAGCGATGAATGAAGTGGGCACACTCCAGTAACAGAGACGCTCTCGATGACACTGGGGCGTCCTGTGGTGGAGAATGCACAATACACGGGGTTGTACAATCAAAACTCACTCCTACCCCTCATCACCCTCACCATTATACATATTCATTTTCACGATTTATATTCAATAATGATCATTACATATTATCATTACAGCAATTGAAACCACATTAGCAAAACTAGTTAATCAAAACAAAGTCACATTTTCGGGTTTGGAAAAAGAAGATTGTGTACCACGGAGTACTTAACTACTTCACCACAGACACTGATGTTGATGGGCTTCTTTTTAAAAAAAAATGTTTTAGTAAGTGTTTTATGGCACTTGCAACACAATAAGGTCATATAAATGCCGAAGACTAGAGGTGTTACAAAAGAGTAACAAACACAAAAAAGAATGAGGGGAGACAAAGTTGATAGATGTTTGATAGGAAAGAAGAAGCAAACCACACCAGAGCATCCGCTAACCACATGGGCTTCTCTTTCCTCATACACACAAACAAACAAATAAACAGAAGCAAACCACAGTAGTCTTCAACTATAAGCCTAAGCCTACCACTGACCAGGTCCAGCATGGAAGCCACCAGCTGAGGGTCAGGTAGAGACCCTGGGTGACAACACTCCAGCAGGAACGAGAAGCGCAGCATGCCCGACTTGATGAGATATTTGTCCACCATCTTCTTCTCTCGCACCAGATTCGTCTCAGGACCACTCTCTCTGGTCAAGCCGGACCTCTGCTTGTAAAAATCTGCGGTCACCGCGGGGAAAAATGAGAAGAACGAGAAAAAATTAACTAACATGCTGTGACTGAAGTTGGAGTTTTAACACCTTCCATGCTGCCAGATAAATACTGCTATGAAACTGGTTTTACCGTTACTTGCCAACATAAATAGGAGAAATCACATAAGAAAATTGTGATCAGATGAAAACAAGGACAAATTGCTTTGTCTGGCTGAACCGCTTTATTCTAAGGCAAGGAAGGGTAATAACATCAAAGAAATAAAAGCAACAGCAACATGCAAAGTGCTAAAAACAATATCATGCTACAAACAAATCAACAAACAAATGAGTCGAAATGAAACCAAATGAACTCAGGGGAAATCATAGGAAAAAGTAGACAGTACTTTTGTAATGGTGAGTACTCTAAGAGAGCCCAGAGCTGCTCTTTGACTCATTGAGGGGGGCACGTTATGGGGACAATCTTTCTCCTATCAGACTCATCGACTGTTAAAGTACTGCAATAATCCTTCGTAAGCTGAGAGCTAGCAGTAATCGAAAATACTCTCAGACACACTGACTGATCCAGAGAAAGACTTTGTGACATCCTTCGTAAGCTTTAGAGTACTAAGCAGCAGTCATCGAGCGAGTGAGCAAACTAGGAAAACTTAAAGCCGCCGCCATTTTGTGTGAAAAACATGGAGGAGTAGGAAGCCATTTTATGCGTATGAGGTTTTCTCTTTTCTATCATGGAGGCCGCGCTGGATGAGAGAAGCTGGCGTGGGACAAGACTTTTGGTACATCACCATCACAACTGCCTTTGCGCGTCATCTTCTTGCCCAGAGTTTTGATTCCGTCCTCAATTCTTTTACGAGCACTGAGGAAAGTCAAGGTAGCCTGACTGGCCGCCTTAAAGGACATGCGGCCACGGCCAGCCGGTGCCGTGCGGTGCACTTGTATCTCGCTGCGACTCTCTCGTCTGTCCAGGGGAGGCGGGTCGGATCCTTGGTCGTCTTCATGGTCACTTTTGGTACCACGTCTCCATCCTACAGAGAGAATAATACAAAACGTTTTCATTTGCAAAGCAATACATGCTGGCTGCATACGAACAATTTATTATCACTAAACGGTTTCTTTTATGAACCTCCTTGAGTACGTTCCCTTTAGAGCAAACTATGGCCTGATCCCTAACCTAAATCTCTCATGTGCTGCAAGTATCAAGATATATAGACTTACAGATGGTATTTTTCAAAAGATGTGACCATCAAATTGAGGGCTTTCGATATCCAGAAAGATACAGAAGATAAATTATGATAAAAATATCTTTTCACTTATTGAAATAATTTGCTTGCAGCATTCCACAAAGGCTTCAATCAATTTTTGAAGTTTTGAGAAAATTAAAGTAATGAGAAACAAATAAAACTATATTGCAAGATGCCCCTTGATGTCTTTATATGTAAAATGACTTTATCTAGGAACCAACCCCAAGAAATTGATTTGGGCCATTGTTGAATGCTACTCACAATATGCGACTAACTCACTAATCAGAACAGAATGCTGTACCCCATTGATGTTTTCTTCCTACAACCTCAAGCCTAACTATAAGCAAAACAGTAATAAAGAATAACTGACACACTCTGTCTCCCTCTACAATATGGCAGACAGAGGGCTGAAAACCATAGACCAACAAACTGCTGGAAAAGTTTGAGTTTCAGTTTAAAAGAACCAGCGACATACCATTATTTAGTCATACTTACAGCAGAACAGATATTACAGAAACATGACACAGAGAGTAAAGAAAAATGGTCCTGGAGTTGCACCCTCCAGGCACTCACAAAAACAACAAAAGTCACTTCAAACTATTAACAAGAAAGACCGAGACAATACGGGTGTAGTAAAAAAAAAATATTTAAAAAAAGAAGACAATCAGTTGCACCCTCCAAAGAACCAGAGGAACAACAACAGTTACTTATACATAATGACAAGAAAGAGAAACGGAAACACCACTGGTAGAGTAGAGAAATGGGACCCAATAATTGCCTCCAACCATCGACAAAAACTTAGACCTACTTGTAAAAAAGTTATATAAACAAAACAACAGAAGGAACAACAGGAGGATAGTAAAGAAGTAGGACCTAACAGTTGCACCCTCCGGTCACCAACAAAATCATCCAAAGTCACTTAAACCTAAAGGCAAGAAAGACGAACAAAAACATCAAAGGGATAATATAAGAGTAAGACCTAATAGCAGCATCCTCCAGCCTCCCATAAAAAACATCAACAACCAGAACTGACCAATGTTGTTGTTTTTTTTGGTAAGTGTTTTACGGCGCTTGCAACAGCATAAGAACGCGCGGGACACATTAAATATTTTCAGTTGGTAGGAAATTTTGAATTTTGCCCTGGTGGCGGCCAAAGCCTACTTTTTTCGATTTTAGACCACAAAGGGATCTTTAACGAGCGCAACTTACACACGGGGCCTCCGAGATTTTTCGCCCTTGTCCAAGAAGGCTAGGTGTAGATCTTTCCTACCAGAAGATCAGGGGTGTGGCTGAAAGACAGCAGTGAGGAGCCAAGGAGTAGCAGTAGAAAGGCTGCAGGAGTCAGGAGCCCAGAGGAGGAGGAAATTAGGGGGTGGGGGTAGAAAGTGGAGATGAAAGCAGATGACAGAAAATTGCTAGAGAGGAGAAAAGGAGGAAAGGAGACAATATTAGTGAAGAAAATGTTTCAGTTGCTACCCGGATTCAAACCCGGGACCTTTGAATGAGAGTCGAACACCTTAACCTCTAGGCCACGAGAGCCCCCTTGACCAATGTTGAAGCTACACCCTCCAGCCATCCATCAAAAAAATCAATAACCAAAACTGACCAATGTTGAACTTGCTGAATCGGCGTCGCGGAGTAGTGCTGGATGACGGAGAATCCTCCTCTGCGGCCGAGATGCTGGTGCGGGGGCTCTTGCCAGGCCCTTCGTCCAGGATCTCCGAGTCACTGGCTGCATACTGGAACATGAGGGACTAGGTTGGGGTCGGGGGTCAGAGTGGTGGGGGGAGGGGGGGCAGGAGGGGGAAACAACAAACATCAAGTGACCAACAGTGCTGGCGGCAGTGTTATTTGCGGTGGCGCAAGCAGTGATTTGGCAGGGGGGAGGGAAGGGGGTGAGATGGTGCTGAAGTTGAGTGGATGAGGGATGGGTGGTGGTGGGTGAGGTGAGGGTAGTGGCGAGTGGGGTAGGGTGGTGGCGGATGAGGTGAGGGTGGTGGCGAGTGGGGTAGGGTGGTGGCGGATGAGGTGAGGGTGGTGGGTGAGGTGAGGTGAGGGTGAGTGGTGGTGGGTGAGAGATGGGTGGTGGTACAGTGAGATGAGGGTGGTGGTGGGTGAGATGAGGGTGGTGGTGGGTGAGGGGTGGATGGTGGTGGGTGAGATGAGTGTGGTGGTGGGTGAGATGAGGGTGGTGGTGGGTGAGATGAGGGTGGTGGTGAGTGAGGGGTGGGTAGTGGTGGGTGAGATGAGGGTGGTGGATCAGTGAGATGAGGGAGGTGGTGGGTGAGGGGTGGGTAGTGGTGGGTGAGATGAGGGTGGTGGTGGGTGAGGGGTGGGTGGTGGTGAGTGAGGGATGGGTAGTGGTGGGTGAGATGAGGGTGGTGGTGGGTGAGGGGTGGGTGGTGGTGAGTGAGGGCTGCTGAAGTGAGTGAGTGGGTGAGGAGTGCTGAAGTGAGAGGGTGAGAGGTGGGTGGTATGAGGGGGGGGGGGGGCATGGTCAGTTGATCAGCACTATCTACATCAGGAGGAAAAAAATCTCAACATTAAATGTAGTTAAGAAAATGTTAAATCACTATGCTTGACACTAAGAGACAACTTCATCAAATGCCAGATTTAAAACCGAATTCTGCCATCATGGTATGACACTCATTTCTCTGTCTGAATGCTCTAAAAAAATTGTTACTACCCAGGTTTTTTCTCTTCATACATCTGTTCAAGTTCTAAAACAATTTTTAGGTACAATAGCTATTACAAAAATGAGTCCTGGAAAGCTCCTCTCCATACTCCAAAGACTGAATAAGTTTTATGTTCATTTTATGACCCACTTTGGTAAGTGGTATCCCTTAAACCATTTGAAATAATAGTTGAAATGATCTGTTCCATATAATTCATTAACTTTACTATGTTTAGAAACACATGGCCTAGTATACAAGCTCAACTTTGACTGAAAGTGAATGATGGAAGTTAGGAAAGAGAATACCTGTGCTGTGTTGGACAACTGACCAGGCAGCAGCTTTAGAGGAAAGGTGAGAGGGAGAGGGGGAAGGGGGCGGGTTACATTGCGTATGGTGAGACAGCATGCAATGGCAGAGCAGGGGGGCAAGTAGGTAAAAGATAAGTGCAGAAAGACACAATATTTAAATAAAAGCACAACAAACATGGACATCATCAAAAAAGACTTTGCACTTCACAACAAAGTGAAAAACAATAAAGAATAGAAAAGAAAAACACATTAAAGATTATAATTTATTGACAATTGGGTTGCTGGAACAGAAAAGTTTTCTTCTTTTTTTTTCAGCAGCAGCCCTCAAATAAATATAAAATAGTAATAGAAACTAGCATTTTGTTATAGCAAATCAGAAATGCTTGTCAGACTTCTACAGCTTTAAATAGCATCTTTATTAACAAGAAGGCAATTTCTTTCTTTAAAAAAGACTGCTTACAAAATGGCTTCAGAAAAAAAGCAGGGAATCAAAAGTAATACTCATTTATAAAACAGTCATTTGTCTGTTATAGTTTGCCGCAGACAGCATCTTCTCACGCATGCAAATGACTGAGAGGCTGGAGGTAAGTCATGTCGCTGTTTTAAAGGTAGCGAGGTTTTTTTGTTGGCGACAGTCTCTACCAGAGACAATAAAACAAAGTCGTGAGTGTACAAAATATTGTAAGTGTAAGTGTGTTACGACCCCATTAACACAATTAGGATAATTTACGAAGCAAGTGGCTACTTTAATAATAATAATAATAATATATAACATTTATAGAGCGCATTTCCAAAAAAAGTAGCTCAATGCGCTTTACATTGGAATACCCATTTTTCAAAAACCTTTCTTACTACTTCCTTTCTTCTCACGCAATATACATTAATGCACACACACACACACACATACACACACACACACACACACACACACACACACACACACACACACACACACAGAGACTATTTTCATCCAGACATAGGAAAAGAACAAATATAATGAAAGCTAACGTTAAAAGCTTATGAAGGATAGGCCTGTAGGAACAGAAAATGTTTAAGATGTCTTTTGAAGCTATCAAGTGTTCTTATTTGTCTTAGTTTCATGGGTAATCTGTTCCACATAAATGGACCAAGATATGAGAAAGATCTCTCTCCATATGATTTGTATGATTTTACAGGTGTCACAAGTAGGGTGTTATCGTTCGATGATCTTAGGTTTCTCCCTGGTTTATATATACTGATAAGTTCTTGCAGATAAAAAGGAGCAGTTTTATTTACACATTTGAAACACATGACGCAGATTTTAAATATTATTCGTTCTTTTACAGGGAGCCAATGCAGTTCTTTTAATAATGGAGTGACATGGTCTCGTTTTTTAGATCTTGTTATCAGTCTAGCGGCATTGTTTTGAATTACTTGTAAACGATTCAAATATTTGTTGTTCAGACCTGCTAGGAGTGAGTTACAATAGTCTAATCTAGATAGGATAAGAGATGTTACCAGTGTTTTTGTGGTCTCTTCGCTTAAGTACTTTCGAACTAGGCCTATCCTTCTCAGCTGAAAATAAAGGGATTTGGACAGAGATCCTACAAACGAGCCCATTGATAAGTGGTGGTCAATATATACACCGAGATTCCTGACAACTTCTTTACTAGATGTCATATGCCCATATAAATCAAAGTTGACACTTTCCAGATCTTTATTTAATCGTGGATTTTTTATAAGAATGATGTCTGTCTTTTCTTCGTTTAGTTTCAATTTGTTTACTGTCATCCACTTTTTGATTTCATAAAAACATTGTTTAGTGATGGAAATCATGTTTGGTAGATCTTGAATGGTGCCATTAACATACATTTGGGAATCATCGGCATAAAAATGATAATTCAATCCATGATTTTGTAAAATGCTTGCTAAGGGCTGTGTATATAGTGTAAAGAGCACTGGTCCAAGAACGGACCCCTGTGGAACTCCATAATCGAGCCTGACCTGCTTTGAAAAGCTATTTTTAATTTGCACTGACTGAACTCTTTCTAGTAAATATGACTTAAACCATGAAAGCACAGTACCCGATAAGCCAAATGAGCGCTCAAGTCTTGTGAGTAGAATAGCATGGTCAATTGTGTCAAAAGCTGCGGACAGATCCAAAAGAGTTAAAAGACAGATGTTTTTGCTATCAATGGAATCCAATAAATCAGACGTTACTTTTAAAAGCGCAGTTTCGGTACTATGATGAGTTTTATAGGCAGATTGGTAAATTTCCTCAAGACCATTTTTTCTCATGTGAGACAAAACTTGACTTAAAACAATCTTCTCTAGAATTTTTGAGACAAATTGCAAATTCGAAACTGGTCGATAGTTTTTAAATTCATTTTTATCAAGCCCGGGTTTTTTCAATAAAGGTTTTACAATAGCTTGTTTGAAAGTATTAGGTACTGTGCCAGTGGCAAGTGACATATTCACTATCTGAGTAATGTGAGGTAGGACAATATCAATACAGGTTTTGAATACATGAGCAGGCATTGGGTCAAGGTCGCATGTTTTTATGGTTGACCCATTAATACAATTTAAAATATCACTACTTGTAACTGGACTAAAAGAATCTAATATTTGTCCAGTAAATTCTGAAAATTCCAAATTTCCATTTGGCTCTAGGTCGAGAGAAGAGCGTATGGTATTAATTTTGTCATTGAAAAAAGTCACAAATAAACTACAAAGTTCGTCATCTGATGTTGCAGAGGGGAGAGGAGATATTGTTTCTTTTCCCAGAATAGCATTGGTAGTCTGAACGAGTTGTTTGGGTGATTTAACATCTTGTAATTCATGTAGATAGTATCTTTTCTTGTTATTTTCGATGATTGAGTTGACTTTGTCTCGGTGGTTAATAAAGATGTCTCTGTGAACTTGAAGTTTTGATTTCCTCCACCTGCGTTCTGCCTGACGTCGATGTTTCTTGGCCTCTTTGATTTCAAGTGAAAACCAAGGAGAAAAGGGTCTCGAAGAAATGTTTCTTTTTACCATTGGCGCATGTTGGTCGATTGCCGCTTTGAGAGTGTCATGAAATGTGTCTGCATCTAGGGAGGATAGACTTGTCAGTGTTTTGCTCACGTCGTCCCGAAGTGCCTGTGTGTCTATTGTTCTCGTGTTCCTTGAAAGTATGCTTCTTCTTACGTGTTTTGGTTTGGAGATGTTAATGTTAGCTATCAGAAGAGAATGGTCAGAGATAGCCTTATCTAAAACCTGATGTTTAAGAACATGTTGGTCAGCAGTGTTGGTAATTAGCAGGTCCAAAATGTGACCACTACGATGTGTCGGCTCTTTGATTAGCTGCTGTAGATTATGATCATCAAGAATTGAAACAAGGCGTTTGGTGTCTGGAACAGATGGAACATCAAAGTGAAAGTTGAAATCCCCTATGATGTAAAAGGGGGAGGCAGCTTGCTCTAGTTGAAAGAGTAGATCTTGGAATTCTATGAAGAATTCTTTACTTGTAAATTTATTTTTCTTGTTAGGTGGCGGTCGATAGATACATGTCACACGGAAGGTAAGTTGCTCTGATCTGATGAAAGCAGTGGCTGATTGAAATGTGCGATACGATGGACCACCGCAGATGAACTTTACTGGTAAACCTCGCCGATGAATAAAAGCAATTCCGCCACCACGTGATCCGCGTGAAAAAGATTTAAGTTCAAAGCCGGGTGGTAGAAGGTCGGCTATGATAGATTCATCGCCTTCTGTTCGAAGCCAAGTTTCTGTGATGCACAACAAGTCGATGTTCATTTCTTCAATTACGTCTCTTACAATGTTTGTTTTGTTGCAGCACGACTGGGTGTTAATACAGCCAATTCTTAAGTTGGGACAGTTATGTTGAAATACATTACGAGTGTCTATCTGTATTAGGTTTTTCTTGTTCACAGTAGTCGTAGTTCTATTCTTAGAAACAGTGTCACGAGGAATCCCCTGACACACCATAATTTTTCTCTGTTTCCTTGTCCCACCTCTCGTACCCCTCTTGTCACTCTTTACTACCTTTGATTGACAAACACAGCTGTTTCTAACTCCTAACTGGGCCAAACTAGTAAGCACATTTGATGGTACACTCAGACTTGGATTGTTTACGTTTAACAGCTGATCTTTTGTGTAATTAGTTGTTTTCCCTGTTTGATTCAGTGCGCAAGGGTGTAACACAGGGAAAACCCGAACATGGTGGTATGATCTAGAGTTCACTACAAAACTGTAAACATGGCCAAAATAGTTCAATAGGGCCAGGGTAAGAATTACAAGTTCCATGGCTAATATTAGACTAGATCTTGTCTTTATATGTACTATTTTTACACCACTAGATGAAGCAAATCAAGGGCCCTCACATGATATTAAATTCCTAGAAAACACAATTCATAATCTTGAGAAATGGCGAAAAAATGCATAGAGCTGTTTCAGCAGCCTGCTAGGCGCTTGAACACAACTTCCGGTACTCCCTACTAGTCAAAGCCAATGTGTCCCCAACTCAGGGTTTGCCCCATCCAAACAAGTAGTGTCACAAAATCTTCACAGATACATACCAAACAGAAAGCAAGTCGCAGTTCACAGCAAGTTAGCACAATTAAGGCACACTCAGCCAGAAAAAAGATATTTTTGTTTCAGTAAGCATTTCACAGCACTTGCAACAGAATGGGGTCATAAGGTCATAGAAGTGCCGAGGATTAGATGTTTGTTTGTTTTAGAAGGTTTTACGGCACTCGCAACTGCATAAGGTCATATGAGCGCCAGAAGATTAAAGGTGTTACAAGACAGTAACAAACATAAAAAAGAAAGGAGGGGAGATAAGGACAATAGATCTTTGATAGGAAAGAAGAAGCAAACCACACCAGAGCACCCACCAACCACCCACAGGATTAGATATGTTACAAGACAGTAACATACACACAAAAAAGAAGGAGAAGAAATAAGGATGATAGATGTTCGATTCGACAAAAGCAACACTGAGAAAAAGTAAAGGGAACAGACTCCACCAAAGCCCGTCACACCCCCCCCCCCCCCCCCCCACACACACACACCACACCCCCATCTCTCAACCACCCACCAGAATCTACCAAGCCAAGAGACACAAACACGACTTCAGAAATACATTTTTTGAGACTTATATGCCAATGAATAAAGTCATCTAAACTGCAAAAACAAAAGGATCTGACTTACTCTTTTTTCTTTGTGAACTTAGTTTGGACAAATAAAGTATTGTCACTCATAGCACAACAACAAACACATCACTTTTAAATCAAAGATCAGTGAGTGCAACAAAGACATTCACAATACCAAAAATGATGAAAGATTGAAGGATGTACAATGCAGTGATTTCCAAAGAAAAAAATTCTTCCAAACTTGCATACCGAGTTCACAACAAGTAACGGACAAATCTGTTCAAGCTTTAACAAAAACAAACAACTCTTTACCAGAACAGTCAAGAGGAACTGTTATAGGAAGGAAGTCAACATACCAAAGACAGAGTGGCAAGTGCATGGGACCTCATCATTAACAAGTGCTTTAACATGACACTTTGGGCATATCAAGGAATGGTAACTACTTAAGAAGTGTAATAATAATAATAATAATATGTGGCATTTATATAGCGCTTAACCCCGTTTAAAGTAAAGCCTGAGAACTTTATTTTATATCAGAACAAAAATATCAGAACAGTGCACTGAAAATGTATCCAACTGAACAAGCTGGTTGAAGCAATAGTACACATTATTATACGTGTGACCCATCAAATTCTTGGTTCCTCCAAATATACTTTTATCTCAGAAGTGATGAGGGGACAAAGAGTTTTCTTCCTTCAGTTTCTCTTGAGAATCTAAGATTAACAGTACTGTACATGAATCAACAAGGAAGAAACATTCAGACAAACGAACAACACTGAAGATGGTTCTGGGCAAACTCATCACTGACAAAACAACTCCTTACTTTGGTGATCTTGCTTCTAAACAGAGATTTCTTCGACTTTCGACGACCAATGGCGTCCTCTGTGCTTTGCACTTTTTCCTGTCTCAGCAAAGGCGCAGTCTCCTTCTCATCACCGCTCTCCGAGGTCACAGAGGTCGTACGTCTAAAAAAAATGACCCACATTAAAGGAAAATTACTTTCATCCCATTTCAGTTTGAGTATTTTAGTTTTAATAAGGTATTATGGCGCTTGCAACTGCATAAGGTCATATGGGCCCCAAGAGGTGGATGTCAACAGAGAAATTCAAACGAGGAATCAGGCTTACTCTGCTCACTTCTCTAGCCTCAACAGCACAAAGCCTGCTTCGACTATCAAGGCACCCTGGTACTAGCAGTTCACAAGAGAGTGACAAACATACAAAAGAAGTAGAGGAAAATGATGATAGTAAGGATGAGGAAAGAAAAAGCAGCAGTTACCCCTATGTATTTCCAGAATAGTATGAGCATGACATTGATAAATCAGCCCATTTACAATTCTACTGTGTATAAGAACATGTTAATATCCCCCCTTTAGGAATGGCCGAAAGACACTTCAGTCAGTAGCACTGTCCTGGTGGGGGGAAGTTTGAGTATTTGAGTAAAAGAAAAGAGAAGTACAACAGCACAATAATGGTAATTCCACACAGGAAAAAAAGCAAAAGATAAACAGAAATGACAGAGAGAAAGCAAAGAAGTAGAACCTGCAAGTGGCACCCTCAAACTATATGCAACATTTCTTTACAGTTGTGAAACGCAAACAATAAAAAAAATGCCTTCCATACCAGATAAAGAAGACATTAGTCTTGCTTCTATTCTTCAACAGTATTAGAAGGGAGTTTCATCCTTAAATATGCACGGTCCAACCAATTCAGATCTATATGAGACTTTGAGATTCATCAAACATATTACTGTTATAAATATGAACACTATTTTTTAGCAGATACGTCAAGGGGTCAACATACGCAGCGTAACTAGACTAAAGGTTGAACACCCTGACAAGAAAGCTATGTGTTTTCTTGTGCGTTTAGTCATTCTTCCTTTCAAAACATTTTTTTTCATTTTCATGGAGATAAGGTCAAAATGTCATCTATATTTAAGGTTAAGCACTAGCCTATTTCTTTTTACCTGATTGGAGAGCTATGTGGCTTCTTAAGCGCTTGCTCTTTCTTCCGTTCCGCACTTTCCTTCCGCATTTTCTGTAAGGAGTCCAGCAGTCCACTGAGAGCAACACGTCTGAATGTACCTCCGTGAATTTCCTTGATGTAGCCCATCAGCTGACGCACATCACAGAACAGGCTCTGAAAATAGAAAATGTATGTAAACGTAAACTTAAAAACCTATGCCCACCACTACGATCACAGCCCAATTTTCTGTTCATGCAAGACGTAGCCCCAACTCAACTGAGACCCCCTACATGGCAGCCACTAATGTGTTACATCAAGCAGTCCAAAATGAGAGGGCTGAACTTTACTTATACAAAAATAACCAGGAGGCACTCTCACTATGTCGAAGCACTAGTTCCACACATTTATTGCCAGGCCAGCACAAAAATACCAAACCAGATATCAATCAAACCAAGGCAATCACAAAATAAGGTAGTGAAGGACCTTTCTATCTTGGAGAAAAGAGAAATAAGAAACGCATCCATATGACGGTGGCCATCTAGTGCTTGTAAAAACCAAGTGAGAAAGAAAATAAGAATGACCTACTAGTGATACCCTCCAACCACCCACAGGAGGAGCACAAAAGGGGTAGAATATACAATCATTAGATGCAATACAAAACAAAAAAGACCACAATGAAGATATATAACTCAAAGCAAAAGCCAATATGAAATACTCAATTTGATGAGCCTCCTTAAAAGAGGGAACTATTCCACAGCTGAACATCCAACATTTTTTTTGTCACTGAATTCAGAGGTATCTTTCATCGATCATCATTTTTTAAATTTTAAAATTTTAAAATTCAGAAAAGATCTATCTCTGCTTACATTACTGTAAATGATTACTGCATACTTAAGAGAAAAAAAAGTATCATATTATGAGACAAGCAATATAAAGAAGCACAAAGAAGAAAAAGATTAACTCACCCAGCTCTAAAGCTAATGATATCAGTATGCGCACGCAACGTTCCAACCCTAACGCTGACAGTATTAGTATGGAAAATTTAGCTCTCGTAAGTGAAAACACTATTTTTGTGTGGAGCAGACTATAGCCTAACTGGAAGAGTAACCATTTTTCATTTGAAACAGACTATGACCAGAAGTGCAAGCCCAAATTTTGAACAAAGATAGCTATATTCGTGAACCATGAGAGGGGGTTCAATATTTGAACGCACTTCCTTTCTTCGGTTTTTGTTTACTTTATGATTCTGTATATAGACCTTTTTCCACGAAGTATTGCAAAAACACTATGACATATTTTACTTTCAAATTTTCAATACACACAAATAATGGTGTGAATAAAATGTGTACCAAATTTGATTAGGATATGTTAAAATTTTGCATTTTTTTCAATTTTTAAAAAAGTGGTAAAAATCTCTAGGGAGAGATGACAACCCGGAAGTGTAGGCCTAGGGCTGAGCGAGTTAATATAAGAACAAATACACTGTCTTCACTTCCACTCACAATGTTCTCATTGCCGTACAGCTCTGTAGCACACTCCACACAGCGAGTGACCATCGGCTTGACCAGGTTGGCCATGAGCACACCCTCCACTCCCCGGTACCCTTCCCCACCCACACTGTGGCCAAAGTTGTTGGAATAGCCATTGCGAGGGATGTTCTCTTGGGACATTGACTTCTTCTGGGCTGCAAAAGAAAAAGGAAACGAACGATTCAGTAATAATGAACCTTTTCTCTCTTAACCTTACAAACTCAACCTATAAATTTCACAGTTATATTTCAACAGGGTCAAAATCAGAGAAGTAACTCATTTTGACAGCACGCCTGACAAATATTCTAAGAAAAATTTCAGATGTTTTATGCCATCGAACAATTTACTTCTTTCTGTCGTCGAGCTGCTTCAACACTACATATCAGGTCAACTTAGGTCGAGAGGATACAGACAAAGTCCAAGCATACAGATGGAGAAACGCAACTTTAAAAACCTCCTAGCCTTTCTAACTTGCAAGTCATGAAATGTCATCTTGATAGCCAACCCTTCTCATTCAAAGTACTCCTTATCCTTATGATGCAATGTGTATATTGTCATCATTTGTGCTGTGGTGGTATGAATATCTGCTTATGTGTTTGTTTTCATCTAAAAAGCCTACGTTTCCATGTTCATTCACTTGTAATTCGTGTTAAGATGAAGGTATTGTAAAGCCCCTAGAGCTGATTTGTATAGGAATGGGCACTATAGAAATTATCTGCATTCTTCTTATTATTATCATTATTATTATTATCATTATTATTATTATCATTATTATTAGACTTGAAAGTCTTAAAATTAAAAAAAAAACAGTAAGAGTTCGGTTTCTTACACATCGGGGACTGCACCAAAGAGGTAGGGTCAAAACAAAACCCGAGAAAAGCATGCAGGAAATCCACCGTCTCCTGGAGGGGGCGCTTCTTGACCGTGTCCTTGAGGAACTTGTGGAACATGGCCGGGTTGATGCGGTGAAGCCGCTGCAGGCAGTTCTGTCCCTTGAGCCGTAGGTGATCTCCTTGAGAACCCATCACACCGTCGCCACAGCCGTGAGGGCAACCCAGTGCTTTGTAGATCCTGTCATGAGGAAGACAGAAAAAAAGAACATAATATATATAATATACGGCATTCATTTAGTACTCAACACCGATAAAAGTACACTGGCTCTGAACGTTTAAATATGGAACTTCATCTAATACGGGATCAAAGAGGAGGGTGGGGGCGGAAGGGGGGGGGGGGGGGGGGGGGGGGTTTTTTAAACATCATCTAATACTGGATAAAAGAGGAGGGGGGATTTTAAACATCATCTAATACTGGATAAAAGAGGAGGGGAAAAAAGAATATACAAAATCATCCAATACTGGATAAAAGCTAAAAGAGGAGAGGAAAAAATACTATGAAACATCATCTTATACTGGATCAAAGAGGAGGGGAAGAAAGAATGTAAAACATAATAAAATATAGATAAAGTAGCAATCTAAACGATCCAAGACAGTAAAGACAGGACCTCTTACGTTTGAGCAAAGAGAAGCCCATTGTCCGGATAACAGACATTTAATGAAAGGAAAAGAGTAAAAAGATAGAAACAACAGAGGGAAAGAAAAGAAAAAGGACTTACTAGAGGCACCCTCCAACCACCCCTGAAGAGGGGAGGCAGAAGAATCCAAACATCCTGATCCCACACAGACCAGACACTAACTAATTTACTTCGTCCACCACACACAACAATCATCATCATTAAGAGTCAGATCAAATACAGAAATAAGCAATCATGATTCATCATACATTTCTCCCCTCAAATACTCTTTAAAAAGTTTATTATTAACCTGGTCTTTCCTGTCACTCTTCTGTTAATTAAGGTTTTCCAACTTCTACAGGTTTTGTTAAAAACTTAACAGACCCATTCTCAGACCACAATACGCTTGAAAATACAGCTTGAAAAATTGTGCATACTTAAACAAATGAAGGAGCAGCACTTACCTGAACAGGCTGTCCATCGCCAGGCTAAGGGCGGTCACTTCATCCCTTCCCTGACCACTCTGACTCTCCTCCTGAGGAGATGCCTTGGGAGGGGTCTGTTCATGACCTTTACGGAAAAACAAGAATACTGGTACTAATATAATATATAACGCTAAATCCCGATTAAAGTACACAGGATCTGAGCGCTTTACAATACAACAGTATCGTGTAATCAGTACATTGTGTAATAATACTATCACATTCTTACTACTACTACTACTAATACAAGCACTATGACAGCGGTGGAGGCAACAGTGATGGCAGCTGCCACTATAACTGCTACTGCTGCAACTATACAGGGGATTTGAAAATACCACTCTTTGATTGTGTATAAAATCTAGCCTTTTGAGTCTTTACTCTTTCCCTTTCACTTGAGTATACTAAGTTCTCTAGAGTATACTAGGTACTCTAAAAAATAGGTCATGTTATAGAAATAATATTTTGGGGCTTCAATTATTGTTCACAGAACCAACTTTTTAAAACAAAAAATTGGCATTTTTTCCTGATCACGAGGCGGATTTTGTCTATTCTGGGTTTTTTTTTATGAAGTTGAGGTTGGTGTTTACCAAAAACTGCAATATGACTTGATCATTGTCACCCAAGACAGATGGTAGATTTAACTCAACATCAGAGAAACTGAGCCATTGACATGATCTGCATGTTTCCGCAGTTGCTAGGACATTCAACATCTCTCTCTCTCTCTCCCTCTCCCCCTCCCCCTCCCCCTCCCCCTCTCTCTCTCTCTCTCTCTCTCTCTCTCTCTCTCTCTCTCTCTCTCTCTCTCTCTCTCTCTCTCTCTCTCTCTCTCTCTCTCTGCCTCCCTCTCTGCCTCCCTCTCTGCCTTCCTCTCTCTCTCTCTCTTCCATCACAACAGACAAACAACACACACGTATGTACCTTCAGGCGTACCCGTGGTCGAGCTCGCTGTGGACTGCCCTGTAGCCGCTGGTTTCGCAGCCTGCTTCCTCTCTATGATGTCCAGGTCCAGCAGACAGTTGAGCAGGTTCAGCAGCACCTCACAGATGCGAGGAGAGTGCTCGTTCATGGACACAAAGTGGAGGGCACGCAGAACGACCTTGTAGTTGATGTGACCATTCTCCTGGATGTAGAACTTGGAGCCTCCCACCTGAAAAAAACAGAGAACAACATCACAGCTATTTCTAAACTTGTACATGTATTACACCCTCATCAACTCACTGAGATCATTTAACAGGTGGGCTGCTTTGACCCTGCCCGTCTTGGCTAATTTTCCGTTGTCAGAATACGACGTTCGTTTTTTGTGATTTCTTTTTGCATCTACTTTGCCTCTCTGCAGCGCAGTTGTCATCAGGACTGTTTTTGTATTTTTGTTAGCAAAACCAAGGTATACCGAATTCTTTCAGAAGGCTTACACCTACATTCGATTTGGGATTCTTTATCAGTCCGTTGAACAAGGAACAGTCTTCTATAAAACTACATTTCTGTAGCTTGGATTCCCTTCTTAATGACCAAGCCTAATTTCTAAAGGTGTCCGAACAAAAAAAGGACAAAGAACTGAAGGTCATAAATCTTACCTCTGTGATTTCTCCATCGTGTTTATAAGAAATGTTTGAGTCAGTGAAGCTCCTCGGCAGATTGGGGGACTCTGGGGCCTCTTCTGCAAGTTCAAGAGAAAAACTGTCCATTTTGCGAAATATCATCACTATTATAAATCACATATCACAAATTTTTTCACACTTACAGGTATATCATTATATGTTTCAACATTAGACTCTGCATGAGTCAGTGCATCTATGTTACGGGCCCGGTGTTCAACTGAGAGAGAGAAAGAGAGAAGAGAGAGACAGAGGGGAAGAGAGAGAGAGACAGAGGGGAAGAGAGAGAGAGAGAGAAAGAGGTTGTGTGTATGGTAGGAGACGAAAAAAGTAATAAGCATTTCTAACATACCTATAATGAAACCAGAAAAAAAACTTAATTCTATTATGATCCAGAAGATAATATTATGATCCTATCCTGTGACCTACCTTGACAATTTATTTCTACTAACCTTTGACCTCCGGACTGTGTTTAGTTATGCGAATAATCGGCCTCCTAATTGCCTCCTTGTCCGCCATCGGCTGAGCTTTGCCCTGGAGATCAGCCTGGGACGATGTGGAGGAATCCTGTCCACTGCACTGACCACTGCTACTGCCCACTGACTCTTTGTCCGGCTGGCTCAGAGTAGGCAGACTTTTACGACATAATCCCCTGGAAAAGACGTTGGAACTTTACAAAAAGCTGTCTTCTTATTCTTTTTTTTTTTTTCTTTGTTTTTATTAAATGTGAGGCATCGAGGTGAAATCGAGCGCTTGTCAAAATAATGAAATCGAAGAAACTGTCACTTTTCCACCAGTTTGGCAATTTTTATTGAATTTTTGTTTTTTTGCATAACACCTTTTATGTCCATTTAAAAAGATATTTATGTGTGGAAATCACTGAAAAACGATTAAAGGCACAAAAAGTGTAAATTTTCAGTTTCAAAATACTTTCAAGAAACGGAACTGACCAAACTTTGGCGGCCATTTGCTTGCTAATTTTACCCTTAAAACCAGGCGACCCCACCTCCTTCAATTGCAAATATATCTCAACTTCTATTCAAGTTAGATGGGTATTTTTTTCACCAAATGCAAGACCAATGAACAAACTTTAAGGTGTCACCAATAACTCCATATACCAAAAAATTGACGAGCGCCTGATTCCACCGCATCGCATCACAAATGTTTTATACCCCCATTAATGATCACATATGAAGCCAGCTGCTTTAACTCTGCCTGTCAATAGTTTTGTGGTATCTTAAGAACGATTCCTTAGCATGATACTGTTAGAGTGTGATAAAAGACATGCCTCACCCATTTTCTATATCTGTTTTTATTACAGACAATACGGCATGTAAAGAGCAAATTGCCTTTTAAAGTAACATATGGTATTCTTAGAATCTCAGAGTACACTAAAATTGTTGTCTAATAAGAGTGGTGCAATTGTTGTCTAACAGTATGTTGTCTTGTCTAAAAGGAGCAAATTGTCTCAGAGAGGCGAAATGTTGTCCATGAGCTGAAAAAAAATTACACCGCCTTTTGCTTTGAACCAACACAAACAGAGAGAGAATTGTAACTTTTTACTCGAGCTGTTGACTCCTTGAGAGGCCAGTTTACACCCAAAAAATAAAAAACCAACAACTACAAGAAATTACAATGAGAGTGGCAGGCCTATCCTCCTAAAAAATATATCATGATTCTTATCACTGCACTAAATTTTCTTAGTAAATTAGGTAAAAGTAAAGTTAGCCCTCTTATTTCAAATGGCATAAGGTCACAGTATGGTTGTGGTTATCTCTTCCAAGAACTGGAAACAATGTACTGTGATTGTCATGATGCATAAAGATGTTGGGCACAAAGACTTACTAGTAACATGTAAAAACACAACAAAAAATTAGCACTGACCCTCCAGTCAAAGAATCAAATCTGTCTTCCTGTTCCCTGTAGGATCCCATGGCCGAGGTCGGTCGATGAATTTCACTCTCCTCCTCCTTGCCTGAAACAACATCATTAAAAAAAAAAAAAAAATTTAATTTAAATCATTTAAATCATTTACGAGTTGGGCTATTTCAAACCTATATGTGCGGGCCAACCTGGAGTGAGTAGGGTATAGCATTCCATGAGACAAATAGCATAAGCCATATACCATCAAGATAACATCTACAAAATACTACAGACCATTAAATTACTTTGGCAAAGGATCAGAAACACAGATAAACATAATGTCAGGACAACCCATACTTTTACTTTACTTTACTTTTCCGATCCATCGGCCATTTGGGTTCTAGCCCTTCGGTCTGTCGATATGGCAAAGAATTTGCAGGTTTTAATCAGCTGTGCTTTGTCAGGACAACCCATAAACACAATGTATTGTATTGTTTTTTTGTTCGTACTTTTATTTTGCAAATAAACAGTGAATGTTGAATGTTCATAAAGGTCTGTTTGAAAAACAAGTACCTCAAATTATGTAACTACAAATACAAAAAATATCCCAGGTTTCTTTAATGTGCTTCACAAAAAAAAAGCATACTAAATTGTAACGAGTACTAACACCTTTTGGTGGCATCTAATCAACACCATTTTGAACTAACTAAGAAGCATTGCTGGCCTGAGAATTTAATCGACATTTTGAAATACATTCAACTACTTTGTAATGGTAAATGTTATCCTCTTGAAATAACAGCTGAAAGTTTCTTAATTAACTCATCTCCAATAATAATCACGTCCTACCTTCATCACTCGTATCCCTCTTGCGTAAAAACGACTTCCCGGAATCAAAAAACTGCTTCAGTTCTACGCCCCTGATCTTCTTGAACGGTGGCTCCTTCCGAGACTCCGGCAAATGGAAACCCCCAGAAGCGGTGATGGCTGTCCTCCGGGTCTCCAGCCCCGGCACATGTTTCATGGTGGGCGAGCACGTCTCGGGGGCCAGCGCTGTGGGGGTGGGGGGACCAGACGGAGGTTCCACCACACTGCTCATACCGCCACCACCAGACTTGCTCGGGACAGTCAGCACTTTGAGGTCGGGGATGGGCAGCGAGGAGCTACGAGATCGCTCTTTGGTGTCTATGTTGCTGAACTCACGACAGACCTCTAGCATGCGCTGGTGCATGTATCTGAAGGAAGAAATAAAAAAACAAAAACAATTTCTATACAGTAATCGTAAAAATAATCCCTTGTAAAAAAAAATCCACCATCAACAACTAATATAACACGAGTAGCGACGCACATATTTAAAGACAAAAAAATATTGCTTTTATGCAGTACTGATGACAGACATGAAGCCTCTTATAATAGAACATACATTATTTCTAGTACACAAGCACTGGTATATACATCTAAAGAAAAAAACATTTCTTAAAGTACCGATAACAAAGAGTCTCTGATTCTATTGTTATTTTCTACCAAATATTTTACTCCCCCAATGACACAATTTAGAACGTTGAAGAGGTGGGCAGTTTTGATTGTTTTTCTAGACCAAAACTACAGCTGAGCGGGAAACATCTTCCCTGCAGACATACCAAATTACTCTCTCAAAAAATATGCTTCCCACTAGGAAACAAACTCAAGTCTTCTGTATGCAACAGCAAAGAGTCTTACCATTACACCACAGATGACAGCTTTCACATCAAAGTTACACTAAAATTTAAATGTAACTCACTCCAAGATGAAACATTTCATTGTTCTATATAAACCCTTCAATCAAATGTATACTGCCAGGGAAGCTGAGAATATTTCCGAGCTTTCTAGGTCTACTGGGGTAAAAATATAGATTGCAAAGCACACACATAGCTTACAGTTGAGAGAGGATATGCAATATACAAATGCTGTTTATTATTTATTCATCATTTACCTGAGAGCCCAGTAAATGCCGTCTTCAGACCAGCTGAGGCAGAAGAGACACCTGAGAACAGCCACGTCGAGGTAACTGGCACTGAGAATGTCCAGCGCACCCGGAGCTCTGGTCCCACTGGTCACTGCCGAGGCCAGCTTCTGCTTCACGTAGTCCTTGTCCACGGTGGAGGTCAGCTTGAGGAAGGCGTAGTTGTTCGAGTCCGGCAAGAAGGCAACTAGGGTGTCTTTACGGCCACAGCGGCAAGTCAAGCCACCTTCACTGCTCTGTATATTAACAAAAAGAAGAAAAATTGAGAAAAAAAAATACTCCCATGAAAACAACAACAAAAAATTCAACACGCTCATTTTATCAAAAGATTAAAATAAAATAAAAAGACAACAAAAAATGTTCTCCTAAACCTTCATATGACATCTCCTTTCCTGCAAAGAGAGGGAGTCTACATAATTAAAATAGCAGTTAGTACATTTCTTCATATTTGCAACTCAGCATATGCTAGACAAAATGGTTCACCCCAACTTGATCAACAATGAAGACTTACGATAAGTGACATAATTTTTTTAATGTTGACACAGAATTCTCCAAGAACCATTATTTTCTAAAAATAAAAAGGCGATAGAACCTTCTTAGAAATCTTATTTGAAAAAAAAAGGAGAAAGCTATACTGCCCTAAGCTGACAAAACACCTTTTTTTCACTTTTCAGGCCAAATTGTTGTATTTTGCTAAATCAACGGCCTGATAAGTTACCCCTCTCATGTGAAAACATCTAAGTGAAACTGTGACTAGTTTTTGAATAGATTAGAATTCAAATTTTTTTAATGGTTACGCTGACAAAACGCCTTTTTATTTCGAAACTGTTGAGAATTTTTTAAAAGGTGTTTTATCAACATACGACAGTATACAGTTTCAAGGAATTAAATCAGTCAGGCTATATACCTAAAAAATAAAACACAAAAATATATCACTCTCACCTTGACGGGAATCACTGTGTTGCAGTTCTCGCAGATGACCTCCATTGTGGCAGTCTGTGAGTCGGCTGTAGATAAAGTGCAAATGTCACTCATCCGTGCTAAGGGGGCATTCTGGGGGTTGACTTCCTCAAAGCTCTGGTGGCTGGTGGACTCATCAAACAGAAAGGCAATATTTTCTCTTGAAGTCCCTGAAAGCATAAGAAAAATACATTGATCATGCTCTGGGAAGAGTCTCAGATACCTAGAACCAACAGGCTCTTTTTGTGTTATGCTCGAGGCAGGGTGGAGTATTTTTCTACCTAAGTTTTCCCCTCTCTAGTCAGTATGCGACTTTTACCC